TCAGATTATAGTCTCATTTGTTTTTTCTTGTTCCTCAGTGTTCTTGTCAGTGCTACTAAGGAAACAAACCAACTCCCAAGCTAGAAACTCTCCATACTCAACTTGGTATCCACAAAGAAACAACATTCCAGAGGTTAAGGGGACAACAACATATATTTTAGCAAGTGCTGTTCAACTTTGGATTGCCAGCATGCACTGCCTGGTACAGAGAAGGCACTCAAATTTTTAGGAAAGAATGTCTCAAGAACATCAGTACTGGAAGGGTCCCTAGAGTATACCTACTGCTAGTACAGTACCCTTATGACAAGCTACAGAGGCAGAGGGCCTGAAGAAGGGACTTGCTTAAGGCCCATTTATTTGGGTCAGTTCACTGAAGACAGGGAAGATGTTCTTCTTACGTGGAAAAAGAAACAAGAAAAATTCTCAGGTCAGTGGTACTTGCCATTTCCCAATACCCACCTTCCAAGTCAATGGAATCCTGAGCTAACCCTCCAAGTACCACACATCAGAACCTGGAATTAAAGTTTTTTCAGCTCTATCAAGCATGAAATGGGAGGAGGGATGAACATCGAAGCCAGTCAATTATGACAGGAGCAACTCATTCACTTGACCAATAGACTATACCCCAAAAGAGACCGTCCTTGTATTCTGGTTTTTTGTTTGTTTGTTTGTTTTTTTCCCTATGGGGGCAGAACAATAGGGTGGAGTAGCAGGGAGAAAAGATTTTGAGTTGGAAAAGATGTACATGATAAACTCAGTTCTATATTTGAAAGATCAGAAACAGACTGTGCCGAACCACTAATGATGCCAATTTTCAGTAACTCTAGCCATGAAAAGCCCAACCCTAGTAGTGTTGGAATACTAGATCTTCTCCCCTCTGGAGACCTTCAGGCTATAAATTCCAGTGAGGGGGACTCCCAGGAAAATACAAAGGGACCTAGACACACTGTTGTCAAGCAACACTATTAGAACAGAGTTCAGAATATATATGTAGCTGTCATCTCATCTCATCTCGTCTCATCTAGAGAGAATTAAATTTGAAATCAGGGAGATAGACCAGATGACCTCCAAATGTCCCATCCAGATCCAGCATTCAGTAAAGCAATCCCCTGAAAAGAGGAAGAGAGTGAAAAGTAGGAACACACTTAAAACAAGCTATTGTTATAGGGAGCTAGAGAATAATGGAAAGTTAGCAGACTACTGGTCAATACCACCTCTGTCATCCACTCACGGAGCAACCTTCCCCTCTCCAAACCTAACATAACAGAGTATAAATTAGTTGATACCTTCAAGGGTCCCATAAAGACCCTCTTGTGCCCTGGCTAGTGTGGCTCAGTGGTCTGAGCACAAGACTGTGAAGCAAGGGGTCACTGGTTTGATTCCCAGTCAGGACACATGCCTGGGTTGCGCAGGCCAGGTCCCCAGTAGGGGGTGCATGACTGGCAACCACACACTGATGTTTCTCTCCCTCTCTCTCTCCCTTCCCCTCTCTCTAAAAAATAAATAAAATCTTTTTTTTTAAAAAAAGACCCTCTTGTCCCACTATCCCCTCTCTGCACAGAGGGCTATTCAAAAAGAAACCTAAAGGAAATCTCCAAGATAGTCCCTGCTCTATCTCTATCACCTACACCTTCACAATGGGCCAAGTAAACTGGAGAACCAAAGTGGAGAGAGGCAGGATCCAAAGAGTCACCATTCTCTCACATAACCCCCATTCCTGATCCATTGCCCCACCCTAAAGTCTGTAGGCAGAGCTAGTTCAAGGGTTAAAAAACTGAGATTTTTCCTCCTATTCACCAAGTACCACTTTAGTGCCACTCGAGTGGCTCAAGCAATGCTAGGAATGGCAGGAGAATAAACAGTCCACATAGCCCCTGTTAAAGTTTAGCTGAAATGCAAACCCAGAAGCCTTCAAATACTTCAAGGAACTGGGCCTTATGTCTGCTGACATGGATGGTCCCATCAATGACTACTTGATCACCTTTCTTCTGACCTATTGAGCTAGGGCTAAAATCCCAGCAAACAGAAGAGGTTTCACCAAGACTGACCATCTAAGACCTAGATTCAAGTCCTAGCTTTACTACTGACATGCTGCATCATTCTGGGTCAGTCCTTCCCTATCTGGGGGTCCCAGTTTCTCCATCTATACAATGAGTAATGTTGGACTTGAAAATCATAAAGAATATTTTCAACTCTAATAAACCAAAAACTCAACAACACCTTGAAAATTCAAAACAACCTCTTTTTAGGGAACCCAAGAGTGTCCCAAAGACTTTGTGATCTAAAATCAGTTAAAGAATGTAGGAAGGGAGAAAAATATTTTTTTTTCAAATTTTTTATAATCACCAGAAAGGGTAAATAGCAGTTAATTAGTTCTCCATTCTGGCTACTATAGCAGACCCAGGAAAACTGGCAACTAGAAGCAGAATCTAAGGATTGGCTAGGGGGGTACAGAGGGGTATGTTTTAACAGATTTAGGGGAGGCTGGGCTGACTGGGAGACAATTGGCTGCAAAAGTGAAACTAACCCTGGAAACACTGTAGACATGGTTCATATGAATGAATGGATTTGATTTTTCCACTACCCTTCCCTTTCTGTCATACTCCATAAATAGCCTAAAGCACACTACTGAAGAGGGAGTAGAGAACAGGGGAATTTTCTTCCTTCATTAAAGCTACGAACTGGTATGCAGTGAACTAAACACCTCAGCATTGAGATGAGGAATGAGAAAACAGGAGGCACCTTGTAACACCCCTAACTCTCACCAAGAGACCACACAAATGCAAATGTTGGTTACTTTGCCCAAATTATCCACTTCCTTTTATCTCAGGTCCAGAAAGGCCTAAAAAAGGGTGGCAATTTGCTTTGGGCAAGAGGAGGGCTCAATTTTAAGAACCCAATCACTGAGTCAGAATAGAGGGTCAATGTAATAAGTACCAACCAGCCTGGACCCCAGTCTTGGTTCTCACCATGTGCCCTTATGTAGGTCCTTTCCTGTAGGCGTAAATAACCTCATCAGTTGAGAGATTAAATCGATAGTCTCTGACATCTCTTTCAAGTTAAAAGGCATGATATTGTTGTTTCTCCTAGAAGTTGACTATTCCTTGAGTCAAACAACATGCAAAAATATCCAGATCTTCTTGTCCATCAAAATTCAGCCCTCTCCTTCCAACCTGATTCAAGTTTCAGTCAATCTGTATAAAAAATGCCTTCAGTATTCAGGTACATTCAGCACACTAGGTATGACCTCAAACAGCTCATAATCATCTCTCTCCACATCCAGGAAACAGATCACCACGCCATCTTCTTTGCCACTTTTGACTAGGGATGAGTTGAATGGTTAAGGCCACTTTGAGACAATTTCCAGGACCACTAAGTTGTGTTTAAATGTGAGATATCACAGAACTGAGAATGAGAAATGCCACTAGACAAGAGAAGTCACAGGACTGTCTATCCCCAGAGATCCACCCACCTATTTAGACAAAGCTATACCTTAAGAGGAGTCAAGGAGTCAACCACAGAGAGATAAACCCAAGGAGAGGCTCCTGGAAGGTTCTTTATAATCCTGTGTTGGCAGAGACAGTGGGGGTATTTTCCCTCTCTTTTCAAAACCATTTTCTCATGCTTTGTGTGTGGCGGGAGCAGGGGGACAAGTGTGGAAAAGCCTCATGCCGTAAAACCAAAAGCAACTTAACAAAGAGTGATGGTAGAATGACATACTTGTTGAAAGCTTAGTTTTTCTGAAGGACAGGGTTCGGGAAGGGCAAGAATGACTTGGCAGTAAGGCTGGAATACAGCAACGTGGCAACCAAAGCTCAGCACACACCCAAAGATCTGCCCCCTCTCTCCTGCTCCGCTCATCCAGAGACCCTCGGCCCTTTCTCAAGGCTACTAGTCACTATCTCAGCTCCACAAAGCTCAGGTAGTCCTAGGGAGAGGGTTCTAGGAGAACTGCATATTCTGGGCCAGCCCAACAAGCTGCTTGGCATAAAGGACTCAAACTAGGGTGGTCACCAGGCCTCCCTGGGCAAGGGAAGGCCCCAGCAGCCATTTGGCATGACTTGCACAAAAGCAAGCAGGGCTCATTATTCAGGCACACTCCTCCCCTGCCCCTCCCTCCTGGGCATCCGGCCCCCCTAGGCCCCACTCCCAAGAGGCTTCTGCTCTTCTCATAACAGCCAGTGGGGTGGAGACCAGATCCTAGAAGCTACCACCACTCTAGAAAAGTGTGGCCCCACAGAAGAGAATCTACACCTCACAGAACAGTCCAGAGGGGAAAGTAAGAGATAAAGAGCCATTAAGTAATGGCTTGAAGGGCAGGGATTTGGCAAGTGCAGAAAAGGAAGAAACCAGTGTTCTCCCCTTAGAGAATAGGGAAGACCTACTTCTCAGACTGGTGCCTAGTGAAGTGTTAGCACTCCTGGGTAAAAGCAAGAAGCTTCAATGAGTCCCTCCACAACTCTCCTCTTCTCCTAGTGGAAAACAGCTGAGGCTGCCTGGAGAGTCTGTGAGAAAGATGAGTGAGGGTGTGGGATCCGCCCTTAACATCTCCTTCCTCCTTGCTTCTCATTTCCCAAGGTCCCTCCTGGACAGTGACAGCCTTTCCCCACGAGGTGCCAATTCCTGGACTGGGGGACGTGCTCCCCTCTGAACCAGAGTCTTTTTCCCTGTGCCCATGGCCTGTCAGAGACAAGAGGGAAGGAACTTGGGCCCCACAAGGAAACCCTACAGTCGCATCCCAGACGCAGGGAACTGGAATCTGAGAAAGAGGCCTGCCCCGCCCAGTCCACACTTCTAGCCCAGGACCACCTCAACCCAGCCCCCCCTCGAAGGCGCGCAACACCAGGACTCCACTCACACCCCTCCCCACCCCAGGCCTTGGCGAAGGGTGCGGCATCCCCAGCTGGCCGGGTGGCTGGCCAAGCCCTCGGCCATCATCAACAGACTACAAGGGTCAGCTAGAGTCTCCAGGGCTAGCAGCGCCCACCTCCTGCACTCACCGTCTTGGGCATGGTGGCGGCAAAGGCGGCGGAGTTGGCGAAGTTTGGCTAGGAGCTGTCGGGCAGCGTTGAACACGCAATACACACGGCTCGGACTCCGGGGGCTGAGGGCTCGGATTGGGTCCCTCACTAGCGTCCGGGCGACTGCTCGGCTTCCTGCTAACGGGCCACGACTTCACAAACCCCACCCAGGAAAGAGCCGCCCCCGTCGCACCGCCCGCTCCTTTATGTGGCCCGGCTTCCGCGCCGCTCCCGCCCTCGCGCCCGCCTCCTTGCCGGCCGCCAGCCTCGCCCCGCCCAGCCCAGCCCTTCCCTGGCGGGCTACGCCAGCCACGTGGGGGTCGGACTGGGCATTGGTGCCCCAAGGGGGGCACCCACCCCCTACCCAGACCCACCCTGCGCTCTCCCACTCCCTTCACAGCGCTTATCCCCCCCACCCCCGTATCCGGGCCATCCAGCCCCACCCCAAAGGAGGGCCGGACACTGGGCCGCACCCTGGCTGAGACTTAAGTTGTTCCTGACTGCAACTTTCCACTGATGGGGATCTCGCTAGCTGTCAAAACTGCCCGTTCCAATTTGGGACAGTTCTGACTCTTAGAAAGTTCTTCCTGTGTGTATCTGAACCCCTTTCCTCTGTGGCTTCTGCCTGTGGATGTCATATTTGCTTCCCCGGGGCCACACAACTTACCTGCTGCCCCTAACAACTTCTCAGAGATCTAAAGATCCAATATCCCTCTGAACCTCTCTTTCTCTCTTGGCTAAAGCGCCTCAACTCATCCAACACTTTCACCAATTCTCTTCTGCAGGACTTTATATCCCTTTTCCCATCATATTTCCTTCCCATCCTTGCGCAATCGTCATTTTCATCAGAATCGGGCTTCTTTTCCCAATATCTGTCCTCTACTATTTGTTTTCCTTCAAATCCCAGTCTCCACTTTCTTCAAATCAATGTCCTGATCCTTTAGCCCCTCCCCAGATACATTCACCAATCTACGTAACTCACTTTCTGATAAGGCTATAATTACACAAGGTTAGAGGCAACCCCAGTCCATTCCCTTGAGTTGTGCCTGCCAGCCCCTCTCTATTTCTTGTCAATGTCACAGAATCCCAGGATGGCCATGTTCTAGGTAGGCTGTAGCAGTTAACTGGTTGTCTGAGCTTTAGTTTGAAGGTGATTAGCCATAGTCCTTTTTCCTCCTATCCACCAGCAACTGTTCTGAGTAACCTTTCTGAAGCAGAGTTCCACATACCTCAGGGATGATGAGCCAACTTGGGACAACAGAAAGGACATTTTAGAGGGGTGGTCAGGACACCTGGCTTCTAGTCATAGCTTTGCCATTAACTCACTCTGTGACCATTGTGTGGCCTTGGGGTAAGTCCTTTCTCTTCTCTGCACTTGAGTTTCCCCTTCTATGACAAGAAAGGGCTGGACTCCTGGACTTCCAACGTCCTTTCCCACTTGAAATTATAAAATAATGAGAAACAAAGTAGACTCCCTAGGAAAATAGATGAGTCTAGTAGGGTGGCATAAAGACTGCCCTTGCATTTGCACTCAGGAATCAACAGTCCTTTTTCCTGCTTCTCTTCATTCCCCACTTCAACAGCATTCATGAGTCAATGTGCCTCAGTTTCTCTCATGACTGCCAAGATCCACTGATGTGTGCTAACATAAATAAAATTCCTTTCCCAAACCATTTCCTTGTGCTGAGCAGTTGACCTAAGGAAGAGTAGCACTCCCTGGAAAGCCTCAGCAGCAGGGGTAGCAATGGCAGCCAATCACATTCCTTGGCATTTCTATGGCCATTTTTCTCCCAGAAGTTCAAAGAACTCACTGATTCCCTCATTTATATTCTCCTAGAGCCCACAAGGGCCTGGAACTAGGCTAAGTGCCTAAAGGGGGAGGGGCACTTGATTGGAGACTCCAGCTTTCATTATCCATTCTCGAAAGTGGAAACCCCCTGTGTGTCATTCTCCATGTGCCATGCCAACAACCCCTCCCAACACACACACACACACACACACACACACACACACACACACGAGAGGGGGGAGGGCGCTGATTAGATTGCATCAAGCAGCTGAACACTCTATTAAAAGGGAAAAGGAGCACCAGAGTCCTAGTGGGGTAAGGGAGGTCAAAGGGTGAAGAAGCTAAGAAAGCTGATGGAAGGAGAGACTGAAAGAGAAGAATTAGCCCTCTGGGGAAGGGAAGGTGAGAAATGGAAGGAAATCATAGACTATCAGGGCCTCCATTAAGGTCAAAGGAACTGAGGACCAGAAAGAGGAAAAGACTTACCCAAGATTGGGCTACCGGTGTGGAGAATGGATTCAGAGGGGAATAGAGAAGACAAGTTCAGTTAACCTGTTGCAATAACACAAGCAAGAAATTTTGAAGTCTAGCCCCAGGGAAGTCGTGTCTCCCCTGCCACTTCACCAAACAGAAGCTGGTTATGGTGATTATAATCGAGTAGCTGATGTTACTTGAAGGTTAGATTTGAAACTCTCTGGCTAGGAGGAACCCATCTCAGAACAGAGGCAGCTGAGGTGTTTGCTCTCTTGCTCTTCAAGATAGCCAGAGAAACACGCCTTTGTTTGCTACCTCTTTGCAAAACACTTCATGCTTGTATGGCCAGAACTTCAGATCTCTCCCCAACTCACTCCTTACTATGATCCCATGTAAACTGAGTTGTCTCAGTCTTCCTAGAACCAGAGTAATCCTCACAATTACATTTAGATATGATGAGACTTCTGCCAGTGCTTCTAGAAACAAGACATGGGAATAAGGGCTAAATATCCCCACAGATATGGCTACCCTTGGTGTGGGAAGTAAGAGGTATGAAGACACCAGGGTTTTTAGAAAAGCTGAATTCAGAAAGTTAAAAAAGAAACAGGCAACTATTTTTCAAGCCATAAAGCTAGATGACAGTCAGTATGAGCAAAGAGTGGTTCAGAAGCGTTCTGAAGCTGGATTCCAAGGAAGCTGGGGACATCTGAATCAGGGGATAGGAGATGAAAAAGGAGATTTGACCTGAGCTTTAGGGCCAGGCATGGGATCCAGGTACAAAGGTTCAGAATTCCTAGGGGGCTGAGACTGCTCTGGTGCTGAGACTGCTCTGGAGCTGCAGTGAGTTTAAGTGTCAAAGTCAAGGGAATAGCAAGCATAAACTGCATAAGGCTGATTTATGTGAAAGTCTATGCCAAGCTCAAGAGAGAAATGAGATTGGACTTGTAATCACCTCCCACCCAAGACCTAAGCTCACTGCAATAAAGAAACTTCTGCATTCTAAATGGCATTCCCCCTTCAGAGGACACAATAGTTCAGGAGAGGCAATACCTGAGAGATACTGGGTAGGGAACAGTCCTCAATCCTAGGCATACTTTGGATAAGGAAGCACCTGCCCCCCAGTCCATTGAATGGTGACAGTTTTTTTTCTTAAATCATTTTTATTTTTAAATGACAGTTGACACGCAATATTGTATTAGGCTCACACGTACACCCCAGTGATTAGACATTATTTAACTTACTAAGTAATCATCCCAATAAATCTTGTACCCACCTGACACCTTACATGTTTGTTAGAATATTACTGACTATACTCCCTATGCTGTACTTTATGTCCCATGACTACTTTGTTACTACCAATTTGTACTTCTTAATCACCTCACCTTTTCACCCAGTTCCCCAACTTTCCTCCTATTTGACAACTATCAAAATGTTCTCTTTATCTATGAGTCTGTGTCTGTTCCACTTGTTCATTTATTGGTTTTTAGATTCAGTTGTTGATAGACATGTATTTATTGCCATTTTAAAGATTTTGCTTATTTATTTTTAGAGAGAGGGGAAGGGATGGAGAAAGAGAGGGAGGGAAACATCAATGTGTAGTTGCTTCTCACACGGCCCCTACTGGGAACCTGGCCTGCACCCCAGGCATGTGCCCAGACTGGGAATTGAACCAGCAACCCTTTGGTTCACAGGCCAGCACTCAATCCATGGAGCCACACCAGCCAGGGCTATTTATTGCCATTTTTGTTGTTCATATTTTTTATCCTTTTCTTTTCTTCTTCTTAAAGAAGACCCTTTAACATTTAACATAATACTGTTTTGGTGGTGGTGAACTCCTTTAGTTTTTTCTTATCTGGGAAGTTTTTTATATGTCCTTCAATTCTAAATGATAGCTTTGCTGGGTAAAGTAATCTTTGTTGTAAGCCCTTGCTTTTCACCACTTTGAATATTTCTTGGTAATCCCTTTTTGCCTGCAAAATTTCTGTTGAGAATCAGCTGACAGTCTTGTGAGAGCTCCCTTTGTAGGTAACTCACTGCTTTTCTCTTGCTGCTTTTAAGATTCTCTCTTTGTCTTTAAACTTTGGCATTTTAATTATGATGTGTCTTGGTGCAGACATCTTTCAGTTCAGCTTGTTTGGGACTCACTGCACTTCCAGGATTTGTATGTCTATTTTCTTCACCAGGTTAGGGAAGTTTCCTATCATTTTTTTAAAAAAATGGGTTTTCAATTTCTTCCTATTTCTCTTCTCACTCTGGCACCCCCATAATGCAAATGGTGGTACACTTGAAGTTGTCCCAGAGGCTCCTTGTATTATTCTCATTTGGGGGGAGTTCTTATTTCATTTTGCTGACCTAATTGAGTGGGGGTTTTTTTGCTTCCTTATATTCCAAATTACTGTTTTGATTCTTGGCTTCATCTACTGTACTGTTGATTCCCTGTAAATTATTCTTCAATTCAGTTAGTGTATCCTTCCTTTCTGACTGGTTCTTTTTTATGTTGTTGAGGTCGTCACTAAGTTCACTGAGCATCTTTATAAACAGTATTTTAAACTCAGAATGTAGTACATTGCTTGTCTCCATTTTTGCTTAGTTCTTTTTTGGGAGTTTTGTTCTGTTCTTTCATTTGGGCCATGTTTCTCTGTCTCCTCATTTTGGCAGCTACCCTGTATTTGTTTCCATATATTAGGTAGAACTGCTACATCTCCCAAGTTTAGAGTGGCCTAATGTAGTAGGTATCCTATAGGTTCCAGTGGCACAGCCTCCCCTCTCACCCACACTGAGTACGTGCTCCCCTGTGTGGGCTGTGTACACACTCCTTTTGTAGTTGAGCCTTGATTGCTGTTAGTAGATCAATGGGAGAGATTTACCCACAAGGCCAATCAGCTGCATGTACTGGCTGTTACCACCTTGGAGGATCAGCTGTGCAGGAGCCCAACCCACCAAGCAGGACTT